GCGTGAGGCGCGTACAGGGTCAGGTGAAATGTTCACGCGAGGCTGTTAGAATTGTGATGCTGCTGTTGAGCTGCTGATATTAATGTTCTGGACTATACTGGAAGAAGAAGAAGAAGAAGAAGAAGAATGGAAGGTATATGGGTGGGGTCGGTTTGGTGTTATACGTATTGTTGTTTGTTGTTGTATGCTATTGTTTTAGTGGGTTTATGTATGGATAATGGGCTGGGTTGGGGAATTATGGTGGGCTGCTGGTAGGAAACTCTAAGTGAATGGCCCAACTTAGTCTTTTTTATATAGCCAAATGAATTATGATTTGACCAAATTGAATTTCCCTAGTAAATTTGGTTAAGACTTAAATATGACGAATTAATATAATTAATTAATGAGCTTCATAATGTTAACAAATAAAAATAACTAACTTAATTATAAACTAATTAACTCTAAATATAAGCTATTAATTGATTAAACTAAATTACCAAATATTTAAACAAAACTAAAATATTTTCAAGACAATTTTCGAACATTCATAAAATATACTAATTAGCACATAATTATATAAAATAACACATTTATTATTTTTTTTTAAAAATGACAAAATTACTTAAAATGACTTGAAAAATATTTTGAATTTTATAAAGTCAGTTATTTCAAATCGTTTGGATTTAAGAAACTCAAAAATTAATGATTATCGGGGAGGGTCAAAATTGGGTGTCAACAAATGTGTGTTTGTTAGTTATTTTCAATTAAAATTTAAAATGTGAAAAAATATTAAACGGATTTTTGTTTAGGATTAGATATACTTGTAATTAAGTAATAAATTAACCACATTAAATACAATTTATTTTATTAAAACAAGCTGTGCGCACTTTCTTAACCCATCTATTTTTTATTCGACGTTTGATATTTATATTAAGTTCAACTAATTTAGTATTGAACCGCATAGGATCCAATCAGGAAAGGAATACATATCAATGATTTTTCAATTTATATGTTCTAATTATTAGTTGAAGAGTCTAAACATAATTAATTTTGGATCACGATCTTTTCAAATATTTTCTAAATCTTTTGAATCGTTAACTATTATGATTTATAGAAATTTTATTTAGTTTCTTAATAATGTGAATTTTATTTTAAATATATAAATACAAATTTTATATTGAATATTAGTTGGTATGATTCTCGTACCCCCAATCAAATGACATAATTTTTTACCCAAATTGGACCCATTAGGCAAAGTATTTACCCAAATTGGATCCAACTCAATATATTTAATAAAGTTTACATAAATCACATAGTGTTAAGTATTAATTACATTATTTCCCTACTATTTATAAATTACAAGAATCCCTTAAAATTTATGGAATCCGGATACATCACCGGACTTTCGAATGCATCACTGGACTTCTGAATACATCAATAGACATCCAAATACATCGGAGAGAGATGAATCCGAGAGATGTATCTGTGAGGGGATAGGACATCCACATACATTGGATAGGAATGTATCAGAGAGATGAGGGATGTATTCGTGAGGGAAGGGATGTATTAGAGAGGGGAGGAATGTATCCGAGAGGTAGATAGAGATGTACCAGCGAGAGGCAAGTGATTAATCCGAGAGGAAATTTTTGAATTTTTTTAAAATGGTAAAGAATTTTAGAGATTATGGTAAAATAAGATGTGTATTTAGGTAAGTTTTTCAAATATTTATCACGATTGAACTCACGACCCAAACTATTTACCCGACTACCCCTTTGTTCTATTCACTGAACCACTGCTTCTACATCTATTATATACTATGGTGGTATCTAGCAGTAATTGAGCAGTATTTTCACTAAAACATTGTACGTTCCTCCTTGTAGAGACAAAATAAATGTACTAGTCACTTTGATAGAGGTTGATATATCAAAATAATTAAGGAAAGGAAATCAAAGGGAATCAAAGTCCTAATAATATCACATAAAAAATTATCTTTAGTGGTAATAGTTTAATTTTCGCTAAATATGTATTTTTCGCGGCAATTAGCACTCTTTGTAAATGTCTCTAAAGACTATAGCAATAATTGATCCAATAACAATTAACTAATGCAGATAAAGATTTTAACACTTTTTGTTAATGTATATATTTATTGCTGCTAAAAGTTATTTTTAACGCAGTATAAGGCTCACAAGGAAAAGAGTCATGAGAATCTCAATTTCCTTGCATATGGAAAGTTTTTTCCTAACCCTAGGAATCAAGCAGGTAGAAGTGAGATCATATATTAAATGGAGACAACACATAATCAAGTTACTACTCATTGTACAAGTCTTATTTTTGTTTAACTAAGTATTTTTAGTTTTATATAATTCTAAAAAAATGACAAATAAAAAAACTAAAGAGATATCAGAATATGATGGAAAATGAATTGGTGGTTAACAAGGAATTAATAATGATAAATAAAATGTACTTGTTAAATTAATTTTGAAGTTTTGAAGATATGGAATATTGTGTGTGCAATTATTTTGGTGTGAATTATAATAAATATTTTTGTCTTTGGGAAAAAATGTTAAAGTCATGTGAATTAATTGATTTCTTAAAAACATTGTTGAGGTTCAAAATATTTTTAGAATTGTAATTTTGTTTCAAGCTAAGGTTAGAAACATTCTAAGATTGTTGTCAAAGACTTGAGGTTCCTTGTGTATTTGTATATGAGGCAAAAATGTTTTAAAATAACTTTCATCTGATTAGTAAGAATTAGATTTCCACCAGATAATCCCCTCTCGAATTTCCTTTATGTATAGCAACAAAAAATATGTATATTATTATAATAACATTAATTTCATAGAATAATTAAGTCCAAAGAAAAATTGGTAAACAAACTTAGGAGATTGGTGCAGAAAAACCATTTTAATTGCAAACCATAATAAAATAGACATATCAATGAAATGACATAATAGAACCCCAAGAAGAAAAATAAAGAAAAAATTACATGATAAATTTGAATGAAGTAAACATAATATTAAAGTTGTAAAATTCAAAAATTCAATCCCAAATTAAAGATTGAAATTTTTCCTTAGTTATGTTGTCAATTGATTTTGTCACATCTTCACTCAAAAGATTCTTCCAATCTCCAATCTCCCCTTTACGAAAAAACGCATTATTATTAACTTTTATCCCAGATTTTGGATTATGCGATCCACTCTTATTCACCTCTAAATTGCTCAAATTTCCAAATTCACAAGTTGCCACTATTTTTTCAGGTACAAATTGATCCTCTTCCTCTTTTGAAAATGGTTTCCCCATAAACTCTGCCAATTTCTCCACATAACTCATCGTATCATTCCTCAAGTCCTCGTATTTTAAAAAGAAAATTTCATTCATTCCATGATGATCCTTACTTGCTTTTCGATATTCAGACACGTGATCCCAATAAGGTCCATACGCAGATTTCCCTCAAGAAACCACTCAATTTCTTGTTCGAGTGTGATAGGGTTATCTTTGAATTGAGAGATGGTTTCTTCAAGCTTTTTAGTGTAATGCCATGTTGAAACAAATGTGTCTTTTGGTTCTCTACATATGTAAATGATCTTACACTTTGAATCTATTATAGATTGTGGCAAACAAGTGTATGGAAGATGTGTGTCTAATAATGGGAACCTAGTATCATCAAGAGAAGTAAACACTACAAGACAATGGATTTATAGCTACAAAATTTAATCTATGAATTTGAAAATCGTAGCTATTATTTAGTAATTGCCACAAAAATTTGAATTTTGTGGCTATATAAAAATTTGTCAAATTTCTTAGCCACGAAAATCAAATTGACAAAGCTAAATTCTGATTTTTGTTATAATTGCTAACAATCGTAGCAATAAGTACCTAAATAGCTATAATTTTTCTGCTACGGTGAAATTTTATAGCTAATTATAAGTTTTTGCCACGCAAGAAAATTAACTCTAGCAATAGTAATCTTTTAGCTACAATATATAATTTAAAACAAATATTGTAGCTAAATAAATAATCTTGCTTCAAGTAATAAAAGATTGTGGCAAAAGTTTAATGAAATAGCCATAAATTATTTTGCTTTGATAATATTTCGTAACTAATTATTATTTTTTGCCACAAGCTAAAATTTATCGTAGTAATAATAATTTTTAGCCACAATAAATTATTGTTGAAGCAAATCTCTGGCTAAACAATAGCTATTCTCGAAGTTATAAACAATGTGGCAATATTAGATAATATAGTCATAAATTTTTTGCTATATCAAAATTGCATAGATAATTATTCAATTTTGCCATGATCTGGTTAAAATTTATTGAAGTAACAATAACCTTTTAGCCACAAGAAATGATTTAAAATAAAATATTCTAGCCAAAAAAATATTTTTTTTTGAGTACAAAATAATCGTGGTAATAGTTGACATAAAAAGTATAATTATTTGTCATGATAAAATAATATAGCTATAAAACTGTAATTTTGATAAATATTTCATAGTTAATAATTATTTTCAATCACAAGTTAAAATTTGTAGTACATACTAATGTTTTATCTATATTAAATATTTTTTATGATTGAAATTACCATGATAATAATACTTATATGGTCATAATAAATTAACAATAATATTTTTGGTATTCAATGAGAGACACAAAATATGAAGAGTGTCACAACCTAAAGAGAAAATAATATTTTTTTCGTAGAAAAATTAATAAATGTTGACAATTTGTTTACAAAATATCACTCTACAAGCTACTAGTATTTAGTGTATGATTTAACCCAAAAAAAAAAATCACATTGCAACTGAAGACTTTGTCAACAAACACTCTGTAGATAATAATAATAATAATAATAACAATATTCCAACTAAATACAATTGATATTATCAACTCAACACTACTGAATATTGATTTCTATCCAATAAGAGTAACTCAAAAAAATAAAGATCATCTCTCAGGAATAAGTAAATAAAATTGTTAACCTTAATTGAATATAAGCAATATGGAAATAAGAATTCAAAATATCTATAATAAAAAATATTCATCATCAGTTTCTGGTTCTGATTCACTGACTTCAATAGTATCATCAGCCAAGGTATCAGTACGGATAACATCAAGATCATTTCTTTTCCAATTCATAATGTCTTCATCATCCTCACATATATGCAATAACTCATTACAAGCATCTTGTTGAAAAGTATCTTCATCAATAGCACCTCCGGTAAAATAGGTAGAATGACCATTCAAAACAATTGACCAACTGGGATGAAGATGGTCCTTGACATAAAAAACTTGTTCTGCTTGAGATGCAAGCACAAATGGTTCATCTGTTACTAGTTTTCGCTTAGTGTTAACACTAACAAAATCATGTTTATCTATTTTCACTCCTATTCCGATGTGATCAACATCCCACCAATCACACTTAATCAAAACAACCCGTTTACCTTCAAAATATTGAAGTTCTATTATTTCAGTCAAAACACCATAGTAACTAATATTCTTACCATTCGCTTCTCCTCTTACTAAAACACCACTATTTTGGGTCTTCCTCGTTTCCTCAAGTAGTTTAGTATGAAATCTAAACCCGTTTATTTCATACCCCTTGAATCTTTGAACACCATCAAAAGGGCCTCTAGCCAAAGAATACAATTCACAGGTTGCGAGTTCATTTTTTTCTTTGCACATTTGTACAATCTATATATAAAAAAAATATAAATTAATGATGATAAATAAGTATCACAAATTTAATTTGAAAGACAATAAAAACTTACCCGATGAAAAAACCAATCATCAAAGTTCATGCTTTTATAACTCTGCTCATACTCACTATAATACAAATAAGTGTACATTAATTAAAAATAAAATAAAAGATGAAGATAGGGTTAAGAAAGGTAACTTCTCTGGGAATATTTTGATGGGTAAATGGGTACACATGTATTCTTTGAAGATGATAGAACATGAAATATATATAAATATATATATATATATATATTGGTGGAAATAGCCTTGATTAATATGTGTGCTAAATGTGGCAGCCTTGATCAATCTGATGCATTGAAAGAACATAATTTCATGATGTACCATGCTAAGTGAATTGAAAATGCAGGAAAAGGGAGATATGGTGTTGGATTTGTGTGGTCAGATGATTAGAGAGGTCAATCCGGATGAGAGTTTTGGGATAAAATCATCCTTCAAGTATAACCAAAACTTAGGGTACATCCTTATGGTATAATAATTAACAAAAAACATTATTTAACTATCCTTACTTGTTACACAAATCTCAATATTTGATAGCATTCTTGTGGTTAATGAGCAACCGCTCTATCTAGAACCATGTTTATGATATTTGAGAAGTGTACTGAAGGATGTAGCCAAGTAGACAAAGTATTAACTAAATCTTATTCTCAATGATTTGTCTTTCAGGTGAGATACGTAGTTGACGCTAGTGGGAGTATGACATTGAATAGAATGCAGAATGCCAAAGGAACAACACTTGAGCTACTTGCAGAGAGTTGTACAACCAGAGATCAGATCACCTTTCAATCCTAATAGTACTGTATGTTGCTAGCACTGAATGTGATATTTGCCCCAAATTTTACTACTGTCATATTCCTTTATAAAATTGTCTCTCTGTCCACCGACAACAAAAAATATTTTTCTTCGTAATATATTAAATTGTTAACTTAGACTCGGGATCTAATATAGTAAATTAGAGAATGCAATAAAAAACATACCGTAAAAATGGTTGCACTTCTTCGCAATTTCTTAAAACATAAAGATGAGCTTGTTTTCTCTCTAACTCTTCAAGTTTTCTGGATGCATCTCTTAATAAAGGAGAACCTTTTCTTTCAAATACGGATAATCCACTATATGTCTTAATACGATCATCTTCATAATTCTTATCCATTCGATCATATCCTTTCACATTTCCAGGTAAGTACCTTGAACAAAATATTATACTTTCTTCAACAATATACCCTCTGCAATAGATCCTTCAGGTTGATTTCTATTACGAACATAACATTTCAATATGCGTAAAAATCTGCAAGATATAACAAGATACCATTCAAATTAGAATGATAAATTAACAAACCACATAAATTTAAATCAAAATTATAAATTAAAAACATACCGCTCAGTTGGGTACATCCACCTATATTGTACAGGTCCACCAAGCTTAGCCTCTCTTGGAAGATGAATGACTAAGTGTACCATAACATCAAAAAATGCCGGTAGAAATATTTTCTCTAATTTGCTCAATGTTATAGGAATTTGAGTTGCAAGTTGGTCCAACACATCAACCCTTAATGTTTTCGAGCACAATTCTCTGAAGAAAATACTTAACTCAGTGATAGCATCATATACATTATTTGGCACGACTCCGCGAATTGCAAAAGGAAGCAATTGTTCCAATAGAATATGAGAATCATGACTCTTCAGTCCATAAATTTTACGATCTTCTGACTTCACCTACTGTGATATATTAGAAGAATAACCATTTGGTACCTTAATCATTTTCAAGAACTTGCATACTTTAGACTTCTCATCTGCTGATAAAGAATAGCATGCTGCCGGATAACACCATCTTCCATCCCTTTGAGATGGATGCAACTCACATCTTATACCCATTTCCTTCAAATCATGACAAGCATTCAAATTATCTTTTGTTTTTCCTTCAATATCTAATAATGTCCCAATGATATTATTGCACACATTTTTCTCAATATGCATCACATCTAAATAATGACGTATTAAATTATTTTTCCAATAAGGAAGCTTGAAAAATATGCTTTTCTTCCTCCAGTTATGAATGCCTTTACTTTTTTCGTACTTTCGTTTTTTTCGAGTCTTACCAAATTTCATGTCCTCCAAAGTAAGCAATTGGTTTAAAACATCCTTTCCAGAAAGAACTTCTGGAGCAGATCTTCTTTCTACTTTTCCATCAAAATCACGTTTATTACTCCGCCACTTATGATTAGATGATAAAAATCTACGAGCACCCATATAAGAAAATTTACGACCATACCTTAATCAAGTAGATGGTGTGTCTTTGTTGCATAACGGACAAGCCAAAGCTCCTTTTGTACTCCATCCAGATAAATTGGCATAAGCGGGAAAATCATTTATAGTCCATAAGAGTGCTGCCCGCATACAAAATTCTCTTTTCTCGAAGCATCATATGTATCGACTCCATAAAACCATAGTTCTCGTAACTCATCTATCAATGGTTCTAAGTATACATCAATATCATTTCCAGGAGCCTTAGGACCAGGTATCAACAAAGATAAGAAACAATATGGTTTCTTCATGCACATCCAAGGGGGTAAGTTGTAGACAGTAGTGATCACTGGCCAAGTGCTATGAGAAACACTTAAATTACCAAAAGGATTTACCCCATCAGATGTTAAACCAAGTCTAACACTACGAGGATCTCTAGCAAAGCCCGAATTTAATGTATCAAAATGTTTCCATGCTTCAGAGTCTGCTGGATGTCTAAGAACCCCATCTTTTGAACGTTGATCATGATGCCATGTCATGTCTGAAGCTATTTCTGGTGATGTAAATAACCTTTGCAATCTTGGTTTCAAGGGAAAGTAACGTAACACTTTTCGAGGAACTTTTTTCCCAGTTTTTCCTTGAGTATCCCCATTAGTTTTTTGACCTTCAACTGATTTCCACCTAGACTCCCCACAAATCAAACAGGATTCAGCTTTCGCATTATGTCTCCAAAATAACATACAATCATTCTCACAAGCATGTATTTTTTCATAATTAAGACCTAAATTTTTAATCACTTTTTTTGCTCCATAAAATGACTCTGGTAAAGTTTCACCAGAAGGAAGTGCTTGTTTAAATAACTTTAGTATGCTATCAACTGCTTTACCACTCAACCCATAAAGACACTTGATTTGGAACAGTTCCACAATTAGTGATAACTTGGAGAATGTCTCGCAACCAGGATAAAGTTGTTGTGCAGCATCCTCCAATAATTTGGAAAATGTGGAAGTAGATTCTGAAGTATCACCATGTTTATACTTAACCCCACTAGAATCATTTGTGATTTCAGGACCAACAACATCATATATCATTTCAAACATATCATCACCTCGCTCTTTTCTTTTCTTTTGAGATGGAACACCTGGTTCCTTTCCTTTTTCCTCTTGATTAACATTTTGCTTTTTAGGTGCAAATTCTCCATGATAAAGCCAACGTGTGTATCCTTGAACTATCCCAAAAATTATTAAATGTTCCTTGACCACATCTCTAGACTTGTGGAAAACGTTATTGCATTTCTTACAAGAACAAGGAATTTCATCTTCTAGTTCTGATTGCTTAAATGCAAATTGAAGAAAACTCTCAACTCCTTTTAAGTAAACGTCGCTCGATCTGTCAGTACAACACATCCAAGACTTGTCCATTTTCAAATTTCCTACAAAGAAAAATAAATAGAGAAATATATTGTTAGCATGTGTTAGGAATGTCGTCCCTGGTACAGAGGAAGAAGCACGTTGTGTGATTGAACGGATGGATGCTAAAAATTCATGAAGTCTTAGTTCTTGACTAGCATCTATTGGCAGATATGTGAGGGAAAGCAAGTCAAGGACTAAGGATACCTGATTTTGAGTTCCAAACTTAAAGCAAAGCAAATATATGTCACAGTTATTTTAAGCAGATACTAGCTGCTCTGCAAAACTAGAATCTTAGGCAAAACTTCTTGGCCGAGTCTATACCAGACAATGATTGCAGCATATGAGAGAGTTGGTTTGGATACACGTGCTAAACGTTTGTTGCATGAGTTGACGACAATATTTCTAATTCTAAGAGAGTTTCTCTTCTTATTTGGTTTAAGTGTAAAGGGAAGTAACAAGTTGCAGTAGTTTGAAAACAGTAGTTTGAAAATGCATACATGGTATATAAAGAGATACATTATGTGTTTTCTCTTATGAAGTTCACTTTCAAATGCTAAGCTTTATCACTTGAAGGAATTACGAGATGGTTGAGACACTATATGAGATGCTAGACTCTAATCCTAGTGTTAACAAGAAAGAGTTGCTTCTTGTTGTTGCTGGAGTATATTTTTCTGTCCTACTACACCAAACAAATAACTTCCTCCCCTATTGCACCAAACAAATAAAGAAACTAAGAGGTGAAATAACCTCCTCCCTTGTTTGGTTGCACAATAGTTGGATAGAATATATAAGGAGCTTGATGAATTCATCATCAACCGTTAATTATTTACATTGCACAAGATCTCAAGATAAATTTTCAATTTATATATATATGATAGACTAATCAAAGAGAATCAGAATATATGACTTTTTTAAAACAATATTATCTCATCTTATGTTTTAGTGAGTATAAGCCTATGCACGATTTTTCTCTCCGTAAAATGCAATACCAAAAAGTAGAAGTAGTTACAAAGCACAACGATACAAGCGAACAAGAAACTGATTTACATCATTGGAGCACAAAAAACAGAAGGAAGAAGTAGACCAAACCTCCGTCAATCGCAAAGTAAGTTTCCTCGAATCTCTTATTTTCAAAACTGAAGAATATTATATAACTTACATTACCCAAGGTCTAGACAACATAAGCTTCCACGACGAACAAGCAAATCCTCTAAACCACCCAAACTTCATCCCTATTACATCTAGCGATAAACAAAGACTATATACACACTGGATACAATCCCTGATTATTAAACTAGTCGGAAAAAGAATGGGATATCTACACCTTCCGTCTTTTAAGTAAAATTTTTTTTTTAAAGAGAATCAAGAACAAAAGTTCCCCCTCCCCCCCCTTTTATTATAATTTTCCACCCATACAAATAGTACAGTAAATTTGATCAAATACAAAAGCTTACACACTATAACAACTTGTCCAAATACAAAAGCTTACACAATATCTGTTTGATGGCTTACTACAGACTATTTTCAATAGACGTTGGCTCCCAGACATGCGAAATAAGGGAACTGAAAACTAGAGAAGTTGTTATAGTATGTAAGCTCTTAACATAGTAAAAGAAGAATAACTTACTCTTGATGTCGACGAAGTAGGAGCAAATGAGAATGAGGTTGAGCCTTGAAATTTGAGAGACAAGTTTGGGAATTTAGGGATTCACTGATTTAGTGCTTTAGGAACTGTACATATATTTTTCTTTTTCTATTGATATGTATATGTCAAATTTGCATAATATACTATTTGGTATTCAATATTTTATAATCCTTCCGTTTTAATTTATTAGACTTGATTTAACTTGATGCTAAATTTAAGAAAATTAAAAATACATTTGAATTTTGTGAATTTAAATTATATTAACAATATGTCGAATGTATTTTTTTTAAATAGACCGTAAAAAAATAGGTTAAAAAAATTGAAACGAAAAGAGTATATGTTTCAGTTGTTACATATACTAATATATGTAATTTTTTGTCCATGAAAATAAAAAATTATTTAACTTTATTTGAAATTTTAGAATCTAAAGTTTGAGTTGGAATTTTGTTTGATGATAGTATTTGGATTTTTTATTTTTTTTTGGTTTTGGATGTAATTTTTTTGTAAATGTAATTTATACCCTCATTAATTTGTAAAAATAAAATAAAAGTAAAACGTGAAAAGTAAAAAAGTAAAAACACCTCTTGATATATTTTTCAAAACCTCAAATACAACTTCAATTTATATTTGATAACTTTATAGTCAAAAAGAAATTCGAAATAAAGTGAATAAATTATTTGGAAAAAAAAAATTCATGGTCAAACACTAAATTAATTAAATAAGGTTTTAACCATGTTTCTAACCTATGCTTTTAAGAAGCGGAGCTCGGCTCACCTCAATTGTATTTACCTTTGCTAGGTTAAAACTCAATCAAAGTACGGGCTCGATTGAACCGGCTCGACTTCGCTTGTGTGACTCGCTTTGATAATATATATGTGTGTATATATATATATATAACGTTCTAATTTGGACTAATATTGTATATAATTTGGACTCGCTCAATTCGATACCCAGATCTATTCTTGATCAATTATTTCAAAAATTATTATTTGATACGAACCTATTCTATCAAAATGATACATTTTAGCGTAATTATAAATGTTCTTCAATTAGATTCAGTTTTACAAACATATATACTTGTATTTTCAATATAGTATCTCTACAATATTTTCTTTTTTAAATATGCTTTGTATTATTTTACTTGATACAATATTAGTCCAAATTAGAACTCAAGTTATATATATATATATATAACTCGAGTTCTAATATGGACTAATATTGTATATAATTTGGACTCGCTCAATTCGATACCCAGATTTATTCTTGATCAATTATTTCAAAAATTATTATTTGATACGAACCTATTCTATCAAAATGATACATTTTAGCATAATTATAAATGTTCTTCAGTTAGATTCAGTTTTACAAACATATATACTTGTATTTTCAATATAGTATCTCTACAATATTTTCTTTTTAAATATGCTTTGTATTATTTTACTTAAACTAGGGATATTTTGGAAAAATCCTCTCCGATGAAGGGGAAGGTGAGGTCTATGTACACACTACCCTTATCAAATTCCACATGTGAAATTACATTAAATATGTTATTGTTATTGTTATATCTAATAACTTTTGATTAAATAATTATATCAAATAATTAAAATACAATAATTGACACTTTTTAGATCCCGATAAATCGTACTTTGTAATTTGAAGTTTTTTCTTTTGTATTCTATGATGATCAAAAATTGATTTTTTTTCAATCAAATAATAAGAATTAGCCATTGACTTAATTTATCGGGACAATACGTTTATAATTTCTATTAATTCATTTACTTAATGATTATTGGATTTTATAAATTGTATTAAGAATTAATAATCTTATAATGCTAATATATAAACTAAGTATTAACTTTAAATTATGTTCACTAATTAATAAGTCATAAACTAAAATAGATTTTTTTTTTTTAAATGTAATGCTTACATCACAAACTTCCGTATATGTTATGAAATAGAAAAAACAAAGGAATTGTATTGAAATTAGAAAATATAACAATAAACATTCGGCACCAAAAAAATGGAACAAAAACCAAAAAAATTCCCTCCAAATAATTTCCCTCTAATTTTTTTATGCCTAAATTAAAGATCTTTTTTCCTATATTAGAAGTCCCTAAACCCTAAAAGACTCCGGCAATCAAAAACGAAAAAGAAAAATCTCAAATCGTCCTTTTCTCTATCTCAAATATTCATAGTTTTTCAACTTTTGTTTTCAAGTCAAAGCTAAGGTAAATAAGCTACTAACTTCTCTCTTGCACTTTAATATTCTTTTTCTTTATTGCTTGCTTGCTTTTAATAATGATTTAAACAAAATTAAATTAAATAAATATATTTTTTAAAATTAGATATGGGTAGGAAAGCTCTACGAAAAAAAGTTAATTGCTTGATCGATAATGATGATATGGTGCCTCCTGAGAATTCTAGAATCGCGCCAGTGAAAGAAAATCTTCCCACACAACATGTGGAAGAACTTATTTATCGAGGTAATATAACTTTGTTCAGTATTGAATTTATTATGATTTTTTTTCAATTAGATAAATCTACATATTTATTTAATCATATATAACTAACTCAAGTTCAATAATTTCGTAGGAAATGTGGACACGTTAAGTGAGGTTGAAATTAACTACTATTATGGTGGTTATTTTATATTTTCACCTTCTAGAAAATATGTGAATGGACATTTGAAGAAAACAAATATGGACATTGATTTTGTTAGTTACTTTAATTTGTTAGACGACTTAAAAAAGCATTGTAAATTTGATATTTTTGAGGGAGATAAAAAAATTTATTTGAGAGGTGATAGGGTTATTAATGATTATGTTGGGTTAGTTGAATATGGTGATGATTCAGACGTTAGAAACATGATGGTTAGCTATAAAATGCATAAAAAGAAGCTCATCGAAATTTTTACGCTATCAAAAAATTATAATATTGTCATGAATACCTCTCTTGGAGAACATGATGCTAGAGATAACACATCTGAAGAAGTCAATGAAGTAAGTATGGAAGAACATGAATTGGCGAATTCAGTAGGTAATTTTTATTTTTTTATTTTTTTTATTTTTATAAACATTTTAACTTGACATTATCTATTTAATCCTCAATTTTAGGTTCTAATATTGTGAAAATAAAAGTCAGAGGACCCACACGATGCACAAAAATAATCAACTTACAAGAAGGAGAAAAACTAAATGTAGAATTTGATAAGGATTTTCAAGCTATTGGTAAGAATGCAACCCAATTTATTTGGTTTTTGGGTCAAACAGTTAGAAGTCGAAGTTGTTGTCCTTTAAAAGTAAATGGTTGGAAAGAGATTGAGCAAGACAAAATCGATCATATGTGGGATATTATTTTGGTAAGA